GCCCATCTGTGAAATAGGTATTGTCCTTGTTCAACAGAAGAGGGACAGAAACCCGGAAGGATAGGCAACTTATTCAGTGATGACACAGATACGTGGTGGAACTGGGAATTAAGCCAGCAATTAATCTGAACAGGAGATGATTCCCAAAGAACATAAACCAAAACCCATTTTATCAGGGTTTTGGTAGAAGATAGCACACATACTTTGAATACATGGATTTAATAACAGCCATTTATTTGGTAGCCCGTGTGCCAACCACTCTCCATGCACGACCTCATTGAACCCTTATCACAACACATGATGTAGGATTTATTGTTGAGGAAGGTGAGACTCAGAAACTTTAAGTGACTTGCCCCAGGTCACACAGCAGTGAGCTAGTGATGCTGGGATTTGAACCTAGGTCTTCCACCTCAACGTAGAAGTATGATGTTTATTTCTTTGCAGGTGCTCTCTTTTCTGCTGTGGCCTGTGTCAATGGCTTGGCCATGCTGATGGCTTCTGGCATCTTCAACTCGCTCTACCCAGCCACCTTGAACTTCATGAAGGGGTTCCCCTTCCTCCTGGGAGCCGGCCTCCTCTTCATCCCGGCCATTCTGATTGGGTAATGCAGGGCTCTGACTCGTGATCATAAGAATGCCCTTTATCCCAAAGAATTCCACTTTCTCCTCCTCCCAACCAGAACTCATTCCTGGAACCCCTTGACTCTCCCCTTGAGGACCGCGGCCTAATCTTCTGGGAGCCGTTCTCCAAGGGCAAGGCCGAGGGGTGGAGGGGCAGTAGGGGAAGGGACAGGCTCCCATTGCTTGTTGGCAAGGCTGTGTTCTCTCCCTCAGCTCCCCTCCTCCATTCCCATTTTGCAGATGGAAGGAAGGTGGCGGGAATGTGCTAACAAGAAGCCTGGAGAGCTTTCTCAGCTAATATGGCTGGCCCCCAGGCTAGCCTGACCTTCTGGGTTCTTCCCCCTGTAGCCTTAAGAGTTGCTTTCCAGAGCCCTGTCTCTGGACATTGCCTTGTCCTCCACCTCTCGGCTTTGGGAGAGAATACCTGTCCCAGTCCACGCGATAAAGCCTGTGTCCCATCTCTTAAGAGCTAAGGATGTCTCCCCATGTCAAATCTGAACCCTTTCTCTGGTCTCTCACAGGGTGCTGGAAAAGGCCAATCCTCACCCTGAATTCCAGCAGTTTCCTCAGAGTCCCTGATCCGCCTGCATGGGAGACAGAGGGCAAAGCGAGCGAAATGAACACAAAGCAACTCCAAGTATGCATCTGGATCCCGGTCCACGCGACACGGGCACCACCCCTCAGAGGGCACACGTCTGCCTCGGACAGAGTGGTCCAGCTGGACGGCTGTGCCAGCCTAGGACTTCAACCTAGCTTGGAACCCAGACGGTCCTACTCCAGGAGGCAGTGGGGGAGCCATTTGGAATGGGGGGGGGCTGCCCCCTTCCTACCAGCGGTCACAGGGAACCCTCCAGGGGAGTGGAGGTCCTGACGGAGGGACACCTCAGGGAGCGGCTGAAGCGCAAGGGCTGGCATCTCTGCTTCAGCCCAGACGGCACAGCTCACCGGGCCGTTTCTGGGGCGCAGCCACCAGTGGCCCCTCAGCGACGGATGTGGTTCTGAGGGGAAGGCTGTGGCAGGGCTGGGTGCCCTCTGGGGGAGGGTGCTGCCGTCTTGGGCTGGGATCGACCCTCTGAGCTTAGCAATGCCAGTCACAATAAATCCACAGAATCACACTGAAGTGAACCTTCCGGGCCTGTAAGGCCTTGGGCTGTGGGGCTGTCTGCTTTCCTGCTCCCGGTCTGCCCACCAGCAGTCAGACAGCAGTAAGCTTCTGGGCTGGGCAGGAGCCCCCTGAGCTGCCGTGGGCTGGCCCACACCGCATCTCACTGCTCATTCTCTTCTCTTGAGCTGCTGGAGAGGCTTCAGGGTTGCCCGGCTGGCCTCAGGCCAGTGGAGAGATTGGGGGCAGAGCCCATTCCCGAGGGTCCACCAGAGATCCGCCCCTGAAGGCATTGGGTTTTGTTACTACTCTGCCCTCCAGCGCTCCCGTTGCCATGTGTTTCAGTGGGACCGTGTGCTGAGACCGTCCTCCTGCTTCTGTAGCTCAACGGGAACCCGGAGAGGGGCCTGACTCCCCGATACGATCGGGGCTGCAGCTTCTCAGAGAACAAGGGGCCTTTTTCCAGGCTGTTAGGGAAGCCCGGCCCAGAAGTAGTAAGGCACCACCTTTGTTGAGGGCTGCCAGCCCCTACATAGACCCAGTTCAGGCGGCACTTGCCTGCACTGGCCACAGGGCTTGGCTCCTCCTCCTGCCCTAGAAATCATACAGGTGTGAAGTGTGACCCCACCGGGGTCAGCTGTGACCTCTGTAGCTCGGGCCTTTTGCCACGTTCCCAACTCACCGTCTCTATCATGGGGAGACCAAAGCAAGGCGGGGAATAGTTTTTCACTGTCCCAGCATGAGGCAGTGAGAAGGATTGGGAAAAGGTTTTGGGCTGTCCTCAGGCCTGGGCTCTGCTCTGGGCACTGCCTCTGGCTTGCTTGTGACCTTGAGCAAATCCCTCCTCCGAAGGGCTGGGGCAGCCGGGCCCTGAACTGTCCGATCACAGGGGGTCAAGTTAGGAAACACTGGATTAGATGATATGCTGAGACCTTTCCCACCTCATACGTTTTAGAATGAGATGCCTCTCTTGTTGGGCAGGGGAGAAGAATGAAGGAGTTGGAGCTGAACTTCTGACCTCTGGGTGTCCCTGAGCAGTCCTCAGTCCCTGGGGACGGCTAGGGTGAGGTGGGCAGGGGCCTTGCTGACTCAGCCCGGACTTGCAGGCCAGCGGGGGGGAAAACCCTGACCCTGCAGGCCCATGTCGGAGCAGGCTCTGGGGGAAACGCCGTTTCTCAGCCCCCGTTCAGGACCAGCCCTGTGGGGCCAAGCCTGGCTGGGGGTGGGGGTCATGACTCCGGGTCGGAGGCCGAGCTCTGATTCCCCAGTCACCAAGGGGCAGCAGTTGAGGCTGTAGGAACAGAAGAAACGGCCTGGCAGCCTCCTTGAATACCGCCCGCAGAGCACCTCAGGAGGCGGGGGGACTGATGGTGACAAAAAGCTTCCCTGGGAGAGCACTCAGGCCAGTGTATCATTACTGATGCTGCTGTGTGAGGGCAATGTCCGCTCCGCATCCAGGGCCTGGCACTGGTGGCCGCTCCTGTGGCCTGAAGGAGGCAGGGTCAAGAGCAGTGAAGGCCAGAGCTGGGGCCAGGACCGGCCAGAGAGGGAGTAGAAGGACGGGGAGTAGAAGGAAGGTGTCCCAAGCCCAGGGCGAGACCTCTTGACTTTTTTTTTTTTTTTTTTTTTTAAGATTTTATTTATTTATTTGACAGACAGAGATCACAAGTAGACGGAGAGTCAGGCAGAGAGAGAGAGGGAAGCAAGCAGGCTTCCTGCTGAGCAGAGAGCCCGATGCGGGACTCGATCCCAGGACCCTGAGATCATGACCTGAGCTGAAGGCAGCGGCTTAACCCACTGAGCCACCCAGGCGCCCCAAGACCTCTTGACTTTTTGACGACGAGGCTCAGGAGCTGTGAGTGACCTGGCTGGCCCCCGCGTGAGGTGACTCTGGAAGCTGAGCCAGCCTGAGGTGCCAGGCCACTGCCCACTGCCCCCGGGAGGGGAGAGGCAGGGCGGGCTCCAGCTGACCCTGTTAGCCGAAGCCCTGGTTTATGGGAGCGGGGAGATACTTTCTTGCTCTCCTACCCAAGTGGAGAAAGGGGCAGAGGGATGTTTCTGCTTGTTTATTTCTGTATAGCTCTTGGACCAGCCTTTTTTGGTGAAAACCTGTCCCCCTCTGCCAGACCCTTGGGGCGGAGAAGCCAGCCGTGGGGATAGCAACAGCCCTGCCCTGAGCACAGCTTCTAGGATGGTTCTCGAGACAGGCCTTGGACCAAGCACCAGAAGGCCAGGTCTGGATCCTGGGGTGGCCGCTGCTGATTTGGGAAATGGCCGTCATTCAGTCATTCAGTCCCTTCTCCATACAAGGGACATAATACTGAGTGGGGCTACAGGATCCATGGAGTGGCGTGAGGTGGGGCAGGGGGTGGGGGGCGGGAGGTGGAATGGCAAAGGTTTGGGAGGGATTTGTGTTTTAGAGGCTCGCTAGTTCAGGTGTCTCATTCCTTGACCATCTGCACCCACCCACCTGGGAATTTGTGAGAAAAGCAGAAACCCAAACCCTGACCAGGTAGTCTGAACGCCATTGTTGCAAAATTCCCAGGTGGTTCCAACACACCCCTCACCCTTCTTCAGGATCCCGCCTCTTCCCGTGTTGCTGCGGCCTCTGTCCAGCCCAGCACTGCCATCACAGGGGGCTGTCTCCCCCGGTTGCCCCCTGAGCGAAAGGGTGCGGAGGGGCTGGGCAAGCCAGCAGAGCCAGGCTGGAGCCGGCAACAAGGCCCAGCAACAAGGCACAGGGAGGGTGGCTAGCTGCCTGTCGAGACGGCTTTGGTGGTCCAGGCCTGGTGAACAGCTGCCAGCCACAGTGAGGACTGGCTTGGCCGACCCTGACCTCCGGTGTGGCTAAGAGGTCTGCACCTCAGGAAGGCTGGGAGGGGACTGGAGACCAGGCCAGCTAAGGACACAGTGATTACAGGTCAAGGCCACAGGGTGGCAGGATGCAGTGAGGCCAGAAGCCAGGCACAAACTGGGTGGAGAGCCATCACTGGAGCCTGATCTCCAGCTGGCTGCTGGGCCCCGGCCCTGGCTTAGCTCAGAGGGGAGGGCAGCGCCCAAACTCGTCAGAGGGAGGCTGCCAGCCTTCCCCCTACTCAAGCTGGCTGCTGTCTGGGCAGGAGGGGGTGCCGTGTGTGGCAAATTCTCAATTGTCCAGGGTTTCTCCCACACCTGAGATAGAGAACCTGGTAGCAGGACCTGGAGATGGGGTGGGGGAAGGTGTCTGGCCCCGAGCGCCCCCAATGCCTGGCTCCATTCCCTTTGCAGACGCGGAGGAAGCTGGGCTTGCGGTGGACCATGAGGATGGGGGCAGAGCGACAGCAATTTCCAGAGAAGGGCCCAGCTGGCTGCAGCTGAGAGAGGCCAGGTCGAGGAGCAGTTTCTTCGAGCGGGATGATGGGAACGGGGATCACAGCAGGGCCTAGGATCTAAGGGTTGGTTAAGTTGGGCCCATGGGTGCGGCCCCCTCCAAACTGGTGTCCGAGCCTGCCGATGAGTCCCGGGAGGAGCGGCCCTGCAGGAATCGGATTATCTTCTCAATCGTGGCCTCCTGGTATTCGTGGGACCACCTGTGGGCACAGGGGCTGGTGGGTCAGGGGGCCGCGTGGGGGTGGGGGGAGCTGCTGGCTGGGGGCTGCACACCCACCCCTCTCCTCACTTGATGCCATTGAAGGTGAGCACGGCCTGCATGTCCTCCGGCAGGTCCTGGGGCTCTGGCCACTCGAAGCCATCGATGACCGGCACAATGTTCTTGCCGCAGCTCAAAGCAGTCACGATCTCCTGCAGGAAGAAACGAGGGGATAAAGAAGAGACCTGGGTCCCCCATCTAGGGACCCTGGTGCCAGGCAGTCCCTAGGAGGGGTGCTGGTGCCGAAGTCCGCTTTGGCTTTTCCCTCACCCCTTGTTTTTTTAATAAAAATCAAATATTTGGTTTTTGCCCCAAGTCCTTGGCATAGAGCTCCTGAAACACCGGGAATCCCCAGATGACTGGAGGTTGGGCATGGGGGTTGCCTAGAGAGCTTCTGGATGGGGGCTGCTTGCCAGGAAGACCAAGCTATGATGAAAAAGTTGGAAACTAAGTATCTCACATATAGTCACAGACGCACACCTCCCAGGAGGAGAGAGGGGTTTAGAGATTGAGTTCACTCACCAGGGCCCAAAGACTTCACCATGCCTCCACAGTGAACCCTCCATCAAATCCCCGAAGGATGGGGCGGTTTGTTGAACACATCCAGGTGTTGGGAGGGTGGCCTGCAGAGGGCATGGGAGCTCTGAGCCTCCCTGCCTGTCCCCACACCCCATACCTTTGCCCTATGCATGGCCCCCATTCAAATGTTCCCGAGTTACAGCCTCTACAATGAACCTGGAATATAGTTAAGTGCTTTCTCAGTTCTGCATGTCATTCTAGCAAATGATTGCACTGGCCAGGGGAGGGATGTGTGCCATGGGAACTCCTGACTTGGTAACCAAGTCAGACAGAAGTGTGGGTGGCCTAGGAACCCGGGACTCTCAGATGTCTGAAGTGAGCGCAGATATGTGGGACTAAGCCCTTCTGGAGTTTGACACTCGATCTGGGTGAGTCAGTATCAGAACTGAACTGGGGGTGCCTGGGTGGTTCGGTCGGTTAAGCGTCGGACTCTTGCTTTCAGCTCGGGTCACGATCTCAGGGTCGTGAGATGGAGCCCCATGTTGGGCTCTGCACTCAGGGGGAAGGATTCTGCTTCTCCCTCTGCCCCCGCCCCCCTCACACTTGCGGCACAGTCTCCTGCTCTCAGATAAATAAATCAATCTAAAAATTTTTCTTAAAAAGAACTGAATTGCGGGACACCCAGTTGGTGTTGGCAGATTGGAGAAATGGTTGTTAGTGCTGGAAAAAAAAAAAACAAAACTACACAACTTGGTGTCAGGAGAAAAACATCACTGTCTGGACCCAAACTGATCCATTACCAGCCCGGCAGTTGTCCTCATTTCTCAGATCTACCCACTTTGGCTCTTCCTCCACACACACACCCTCACCGGGCTGCTCCAACCCCTTTATCTTTGTCCCCCACCAGGTCTCTCCTCATCACTCTTGCTTCCTCTAACTTGTTCTCTACATTGCCCCTTCACCTGGCTGCTCTTTCCAAAATCCAAATCTGATCATGTTCCCCCCCTACCTAAAAGTCTTCAAGACTTTACATAGCTCTTAGAATAAAATTCAGGGCATCGGGGTGGCTAAGTTGGTTAAGCGACTGCCTTTGGCTCGGGTATGATCCCAGGGTCCTGGGATTGAGTCCCACAATGGGCTCCCTGTGCTCTTCAGGGAGCCTGCTTCTCTTTCCCTCTGCCTGCCACTCCCCCTGCTTGTGCTCTTTCTCTGTCAAATAAACACATACAGTCTTACAAAACAAACAAAAAAACCCCCTCCATACTGTGGTCTGAAGGCTCCATGTGGTTGGCCACAGCTCCCTTTCCAGACTCCAGCCCTGCACTGCTCTCTCAGCCACACAGACCTTGCCCTCCTTAGATCAGCCATCCTCCCTCCCTACACAGGGCCTTTGCACAGGTTCTTCCTGGCCCCTTCCCCTAACTAATGCTTACTAATTTCTCTGATCTGAGCTCAATCCATACTTTCCCAAGGAAGTCTCCCCTCCCTTCTCTGACCATGCACAATCTCCCTATTGTAGGCTCTAAAAGGCTCTTTAACACATGCTAGAGTTGCAAACTTAATTAATGAGTAATTTACTTAATATCTGTCTTCCCCACCAGACATAAAGACAGGGATCATGTCCGGTTTTTATCCATCTTGTATCTCAGCATCTTTCACAAAGCCTTGCCCATAGTCAGCCCTTGCCAAATACTTAATGGATGGCTGGATGGCTGGAATGAAGGAAGGAAGGAAGGAAGGGAGGGAGGGAGGGGGACAACAAAGCACAGCTGTTAGGGGCTGCACTCCAGAATCCTGAGACTGGGGTTCATATCAAATCTCTGACATAGGCTTTGTGGCATGAGGCAACCAATGGGCCCTCAAAGCCTCTGTTTTCTCTTCTGTTGGGGGGTACCTGCCATGTCCTGTGGCAAGTGCTTAGGCCAGTGCCCAGCATGTAGCGTGTGCTTAATCAATCAATCACAGGTGTTATGATTTCCTCCTCTGTAAAAGAGGATAATAAACCTCCCTCACAAGGCGCTTCTGAGGATATTACTATTAATGGGTGCTCTGGTAAGTGCTTATTGAATTTTTTCTTTTCAAGGGGGGAACCTCAGGGATTGGAATTACTTGAGTGCAGTTCACTTGTGGTTTTCTGTATTGATTACCCACTAAATGTGGCTTCGGGGAAAGGAGTCTTAAAACCAGAGGCAGTGAGGCACTAACAACCAAGGAAGGCTGATGGGGCCTTTGGGACTGGTCCAAGGCAGAGGCTTCCCCCATCCCTCCTCCCTCAATGCAGTCAGCTAGATGGGAGTCAACCACCCTTGGGTCCCAGAGCCTTCCTGGGGAAAAAACCCACATAACTCCAACCTTGATTGGTTTTGGGGGAACCTCTCATTTTATGAATGAGAAGAAGAAAGCCCAGAGAGGGTACTTGCCCCCAAGTCACACAAATGCCCAGCCCAAGAGGGGCCAGGCTTCTGAATCAAGCCTTCAGATTCCAAGCTCAGGGCTCTTTCAGCCAAGCCCTCATTTGAATTCTGACCCTGCACAAATTTATTTGAGAGCCTTTCGACATGTTTTATCCAGAATCAAAGACCGCATGCTGCTCGTTGTAAAGATTCAGAGTCTGGCCAAGAGAGGAAGAATGGCTTGTTCAAGGTCATCCAGCAGGTTACGAATGAAAACTTGAGGGCACCTGGGTGGCTCAGTGGGTTAAGCGACTGCCTTCGGCTCAGGTCATGGTCTCGGGGTCCAGGGATCAAGTCCCGCATCGGGCTCTCTGCTCAGCAGGGAGCCTGCTTCCCTCTCTCTCTCTCTCTCTGCCTACCTCTCTGCCTGCTTGTGATTTCTCTCTGTCAAATAAATAAATAAAATCTTAAAAAAAAAAAAAAAGGAATGAAAACTTGATCAGAGTCGAGTGTTCTGGCCGGGTGAACCTGGTGGACCTATATGGCTTCCCAGTTATTTCAGCTTCCTCTGCTTGGTAACTGATTCAAGTATCCCATCAACTAGTCAAGAGCCTGCTTCGTACCATGCAGGCTTGTAGGCATCCGGGATATAGAGTGAACACAGAAAGGTCTGACCTCGAGTGGAGCTCAGCTACTCCTCTCTTTATCCCAGAAGGCCGCCTGCCACCTGCTCTGGGCCATCAACCATGATCCTCCAGGTGTCTCTTCGGCCCAACACCCAACCAAGCCCAGTACTCAGCCTCTAAAACACGGCTTCCAGGGCCTGACCCTCTTCCCCATGGTTGGTCTGGTTGTACTCTGATGCCAGAGCCTTCTCCCTACCACCGCTGGCCTGGCCTCACTGCCCTTGTGGGATCCCTTTCCCCCAGTGCTTTAAACACAAGTCTTCTCCCAACCTTTAGGTACTCAGCAAATGGATTCTGTAGTTTGTTTGTTTGTTTGTTTGTTTAAAGAGAGGGAGAGAGCCAGTGAGGAGGGGAGAGGGGAGGGCTGGAGAGAATCTTAAACAGGCTCCATGTCCAGTGTGGAGCCCGATCTCACCACCCTGAGATCATGACCTGAGCCAAAGTCGAGAGTTGGGTGTTTACCCAACTGAGCCACCCGGGGAACCCCAGTGGTGTGCTGGCAAATGTTTAACAAATAACTCTCTGGGGGCAAAAAGAAAAAAAACCCAAAACCAAACAAACAGAAAACAACCAACTAACCAAATAAAATCCTGCTTTGTAGTCTTTACCAATTTCCTTTGTGTAAATATTCCCACTAGGGCTGATCTCAGGCTACCAACATGGCGTCACCCGACATGGAGTTGGGAAGGGATGCAAACGACCATTTCTGGTGTCAGCAGAATTCTGCCCCAACCCCCACCTCCCCTCCCACCCCCTCAGGTCTGTGCCACGGCAGGTGCTGGGAAAGAGCAGAGGCTTTGGAGTCAGATCGATGGGAGTTCAGAGGCCAGCTTTTTGGATTTCTACACCAGCTTGGCCAGCGGAAGAAGAATTCTACTGCTCTGAGTCTCTGCTTCATCTGTAAGCAATCACCGGGGATGTGCCTTCCTCATCCCCACTTTTGTCCTCTGCTCGTGCAGTCGCCCTGCCTGGGATGCCTTCTTTTCCACTTACCTAAATTCTTAAGTCTCTTCTCAAGTTCTGCTTCCTTCATGAAGCCCTCCCTGGTTATTCCAGCCCTTAACGTTCTCCCCCTTCTCTACGCTCCTATGGCCAGTGAGAGGTTCACCTACGTGGCTTAGCGGCGACACCAACCCATATATGATCTCTACACGTCTTGTTGCCTTAGCTGCTTCAGGACAAGGGTTCTAGGTCAGATGACTGCCGTATCCCTCACTGATTAATAATTAATAATCTACAGATGTGGTATGAACCCATTTCATCCATCCATCTGTTCTGTCAGTATTCAGTAAGTTTCTAGTATATGCCAGGCACTGAAGATAGAATGGCATTAATTAAACAGCGGGAAGCACTCATACTAATTATAAGGATAAATGCTGCCATTATAGAACAATTACTATAGAACTAGGCATTCTGCTAAGGACTTGACAGATTTTAGCTCTTTTAATTCTTATAACAATATCCTAGGGAGTCCAGGACAATACTTCTCCCACTTTACAGTAGCCAAAACGAAGCTCATTGCAGTTACGCAACTTGCCCAAGGCCGGAGCTGGGATTCAAACTCACAGCTTTGTGCCTTTCACGATCCCACTGTGCCTGTCACCAGGCTCTCTTGCCCCTCTTCCCTCACTGAGGTTATTTATCAAAGCGCTTCCCTCCTTCTCCAACCCTCACGGCCATCCCACAAGGTGAGTAAGACAGGCACGTTATCCCCATTTTCTGCATGAGAACACTGAGGCCCAGAGAGCCTAAGTGACTTGCCAAAGACCAATTACAGACCGAGCTGTGGCTCCTGCCTCGCCACTGGACCGCGGAGGTGGCTGGGGAGTGCGAATGAGAAGGAAAGGGAGGAGGACCTTGACCCCTGGCCACGGGCCAGTGCTGGGACCTCGGAGGCCAGCACCTACCTTATGCACCCAGTCCTTGCAGTCATAGTCCTGCATACACTTGTCCAGGGCCCCGGCTGACAGCACGAGCACGAAGTTGCGGGCACCCATGACACTCTGGATGAGCTTGTCTTCGAACTTGCCTGCTTCCAGCTTCTCCACATCAATGAAGACACTGAAGCCGTGCAGCTGCAGGTGCACCTTCAGGAGGCTGGCGAGAGGTCCCACATCATTGCCCCGGCCCGGCCCCCAGCCCCTGGGCCGCCCACCTGCCCACCCCTTCTCACCTGGCCAGCTGGGAGCCTGAGCTCCGGCGGTAGCTGATGAAGACATCTGGGATGTCCCCACTGGGCTTGCCACCAGTGCAGGGCAGCGGGGAGTGTAGCATTTCTGAGGCAGACAGACAAGAGTTCAGTCAGAGTCACCCCTGACTCCCCATGGGGTGTCACCTGCTGCCCACTCAGCCTTCTCAGCGCAGCCCGGCCCGGGCCGCCTGGCTTGTGCAAAAGAGAGTCACTGAGATAGAGAGCTGGGCCTACGGGAAGGCAGGCTGCTCACTATTGGTGAGTCCCTCTCAGGAGACAGGCATTGGGTTTAGGGACACGGATCGGCACCTCCAGCCCTGTCCTCTCTCCAGAACTCCAGACCTGCACGGGCAGCTGCCCACAGACACTACACCCAACACATCCCAAGTCTTCCCCAGGCCCCTGACTTCCTAGTTCCCACCAGAGCCAGAACCCGGGTATCGGCCCGCACCCCTACCTCTCATTAATTCATGCCACGCATATTCACTAAGTACTTACTGTGTGCCAGGCACTACCCTTTGGGCTTGCCATACGACAGTGAACAGAACAGACAGACGTTCACAACACCTGATTCCATGCTCTGCATTCTTCCAACTAAACACCTGGACTCCAGCCCCAAGGCCCTCTCTATGTCCAGGCTCCCAACTCAGCCTTCTCAGTGGCCTCCCCAAATCCACACTTGCCCAGTTCAATCTGTTTGCACAACAACCACAGGGGTCCTTCTAAAATCTAAGTCTCAGTGGGTCACTGCATCCATTTAAAAAGGGTGCATGGAGCGGGGCACCTGGGTGGCTCAGTTGGTTAGGTGTCTGCCTTCGGCTGAGGTCACAATCTCCCCTGGATCCCTAACCCTAACCCTAACCCACGCCCTCAACTCAGCCCTCTGGGAAGGTTGCCACAATGCCCTCAGACCAGACCTTCCATACTCCTTGGCCCTAACCCTAACCCTAACCCCAGGCTGGGTTCTGAGAGAACAACCTGCAGAAGCTTGGCTCCAAAGCCATACCGGAGGACTCAGCCAGCAACATAGAAAGAAAATGTGCCATTTGGAACTCCAGAAAGGATTCGGAGCAGGAGAAATCTGAATGCAAATCTGAGCCCCCCAGGTGCCCCTCCCTGTTTTTAAGAAATGAAATCTTGGGGTTAGGGATGCCTGGGTGGCTCAGTTGGATAAGCGGCTGCCTTCGGCTCCAGTCATGATCCCAGCATCCTGGGATCAAGTCCCTCATCAGGCTCCTTGCTCAGTGGGGAGCCTGCTTCTCCCTCTGCCTCTGCCTGTGCTCACTCTCTCTGACAAATAAATAAATAAAATCTTAAAAAAAAAAAAAAAGAAATCTTGGGGTTATACTAAGAGCTGCAGTGTGAAAATAATGAAAGCTGATCTGCTTTGGTTGACCTTGTTGAGATGAATGAAAAGAATCCATCTTCATATAATATCCAGTCTCAGCACTCACAGTCAGCCCCTGTCTGTTTATGAAGCAGAAAGACAGAGGTTCAAATCCTAGTTCTGTTACTTAATGGCTCTGGGGTTTGTATTTGGGATTCCCCAAGGGATAACCTTGAGAAACGTATTTAAATTCCCTAAAACTTAGTTTCATCATCTTTAAAAAGAACACTCTTGATGGAAATGTTCTTCATCTTGGATTATGATGGTAGTTACACATGTATGCATTTTTCAAAACTCTTCAAATTGGACACTTTGAAGCTACACTTCTCTTATTACTTAAAAATTTTTAAAAAGTACATTATAGAAAGGCACCTGGGTGGCTCAGTCGGTTAGGTGTCTGACTCTTGATTTTGGCTCAGGTCATGATCTCAGGGTGGTGAGATTGAGCCCCTAGTTGGGGTCCACACTCAGTGGGGGGAATCTGCTTGAGGATTCTCTTTCCCTCTGACCCTCACCCCTGCTCTCTGCCTTGCTCTCTCTCTCTCTCTAAAATGGATAAATGAATCTTAAAAAAAAAAAAAAAGATGAGTAAGTTCTGGGATATAATGCACAGCATGGTGACTACTTGATTAAAAAAATTAACACCCAGGAGCACCCCCGTGGCTCAGTTGGTTGAGCGTCTGCCTTCGGCTCAGTCATGATCCCAGGGTCCTGGGATTGAGCCCCACGATGGACTCCCTGCTCAACAGCGAGTCTGCTTCTCCCTCTGCCCGCCCCCCTCCTCCCGCTCACTCCCTCTCTCAGATAAATAAAATAAAATAAAATCTTAAAAAATAATAAGTAAATAAATAAAATCTTTAAAAAATTAACACCCACTGAATAGAATGCATATAGATTTTAATAAGATAATATTTAAAACTTTATATATTGTAACTGACAATATTAGCGAAATAGTAAATTAGCAAATTAAAATAAATTAGTAAATAAAAAGGGTTGCTAGAGCCCTAGAATCCATTCTGCCCTCGTGACCTCCCTAAAGCACCTCCAGACCCGTATTTGGTAAGCTGTTGGCTAATCGCCTAAACCCCCTGTCTTCCCACCCCTACCCTCTGTAAGCACCCCTGACTGAGGCTGGGCGAGGGCTGGGCGAGGGCTGGGCTCCCAGATGGGCAGGCTGACCTCTGGCGGCGGTGAGGATGCGGGCGCGGTGCACGCCCAGGCGGATGCCGCAGTCCTCCAAGAGCTGCTGCTCCGACACGCGGTGCAGCAGGGAGCGGTCAAGGCCGCAGCTGACCAGGCCATACGTGTACTGGCGGAAGCGCGGGTCCAGGCTGCCCAGCCAGTCAGCCAGGTTGCTGCGGTCGCACGTAGCGTAGTTGGCGAAAGTCTTCAGCTCCGTGAGCTCCCTGAAGAATCTGCAGCCGGGGGTTGGGGGAGAAGAGGACGCTGAGGTCCTGACCTAGGACTGGCTAGGGGCAGAAGGTGAGGACTGGCGGGCGGGAGGTGCCGTACCTTTTGCGGGTGATGCCAGATTTCATGCCCAGGTCGGTCTGGAGCTCCTCGTCCGTGAGCCGCAGAAGCAGGTCGCCATCTACCTGCTGCTCCTAGGGGAGGGGTCAGACGTGAGGAAGGGCGCTCCTCCTCAGTCGTTGGACCCCAAGCATAAGATGCAAGGAAAGGCAACCGGAGACTACGACGGGGGAGGCGGATGGGACCCGAATTAGAGTGACCCCGAAAGTGGTGGAGTACAGGCTTCCACCCCCAAAATAATCCCTGGCGCCGCGGGCGCACGGGCCGCAAGGGGGCGCTGTTGCCTTGTTCAGGGCGCCCCTAGCGGCCGCGAGCCCTTGGGATGCGCTGCTCTACCCGGAAGTTCTCGCAGTAGTGGGAGAAGCCGATCTGCTGCAGCCACGTCTGGACCTCGGCCTCCTTCCAGCTGGCCACGCAGGGCAGGATGGGCCGCGGCACCTCCTCGCCCAGCAGGCGCAACGCGCGCTTGGCCAGCGCCGACGTGGTGCCATTGGTGGAGTAGGAAACCAGGCGTTTCAGGCTCTGGATGGCTCCGATGTCGCTGAATACCTAGGGAGGGGTTGGGAGAGTGTCAGGGGTCCCCCAGTTCACCAGCCATCCCCAAAGATTCCCAGTCCTTCCCCTCGCCTCTTCTCAGCGCTGAAACTCCCATCATCTGCCCTAGCCCTGCATTCACCCTATAGATCACCTAGTTCCATTCATTCCCTTTCCTGAAACTCTCTCGACTCTCCCCCTCATTTCTCCCCTCTAACAGCTTCCATCTCCATGGGATGAAGGCTGAGCTCTCAGTATGAATGCCAGGCATGCTCCCTGCTTAAAACCCTCGGTCTTGCCTTCAAGGCCAGTGACTGGTCTCTCATCCTTCTGCTTGCTTCACTTAACTCTAATGTGTACTTCAAGTCCCAGTTGAATGTCACTTCCTCTGGGAAGCCTTCCCAGATGCTCTCTAACTCCTGTCCCCACTCCCACCCCTCACCCACCTTGGTCTTGCCCTGCAGGCTCTTGATGGCAGCCTCGGCACAGAGATAGAAAGCCCCAATGCACTGCGCCTCCAAGCGCGACGAGTCCAGTAGTGGCACGAGGCGCTGCAGGTCGTCGGGCCCGCGGCCCTGGCTTGTATCGCTGGCATCCACAAGACAGCGGGCGAAGCGGCCGGGATCCAGCGAGGCCACAAGCGGCTCCACGAGCGCCAGCGTGCCAGAGCGCTCCACCTCGCGCTCCACCTCCTTGTTGGTGGCCAGCACGGCTACCGCGAGGCAGGCGTGCAGCCGTAGCAGCTCGTCCTCTTTGGAGAAGGCAAGCGGGAAGAGCCACTCGGCGGCGCGCTTCTCCACCATGCGCCGCTGCGCCGCCTGGCCCCCGTGCAGCGCGCAGTTGCCCAGCGCCAGCGCGCAGTGGCGGAGCAGCGCCGGGTCCGTGCGGCGGCACCAGTACAGCACAGCGTCCAGGCCACCGGCCGCCACCAGCCGCTGGCACGTCTCCTCCGAGTGCTTGAACATGTGCTCCAAGATGCCGGCCACGCTCCGCGCCAGCTCCACCGGCTCCCGCTCTTTTGCCAAGTTCAGGATCACACCCAACCCGATGCGCGCCACGCGGTCCCTGGCGAAACAAAGTGGGACAAGGGATGATGGAATGGCGGTACCACCGGGGAAAGCTGACCATGACCTGGTCATTTAACCTCTCTGGCCTCAATGGTGTCATATAGAACGTGAGGGAGAGCATTAACCTCCCTGCCTCCCCCTTCCACCTGCCCTGCAAGGAACAGATTCCTCCCATTACGATTATAAGGGTGCTTCATCCTGGCCACACCCAATTCCTCCCTTAACGCTGCCTCCTGCCCTGCAGTGTGTATGGTTAAGAACCCTAACTCTGGAGAAGATCCCTTGGGAGCTGGTGGGGTTTTTTTTTTTGTTGTTTGTTTGTTTGTTTTTTTGTTTTTGTTTTTGTTTTTGTTTTTTTTTGTTTTGTTTTGTTTTGTTTTTGTTTTTTTGGTCTAGAAATGTGTGGGACCTTGAGTGCCTTCCTTTATCCAACTTCAGTTCCTAAATAAGGAACTTCATCTCATAAATAAGATAAAAGGAGTACCCACCCCACAGGGTCATTATGAGTACCAGTGTGAAAATCCGTGTAAAGTGCTTCCCACAGGGGAAACCTGCCATAGGGAAGACTTACTAAATTTTAACTTCTTATCATCATTTGAAGCATTACTCTAAGTACACCCCTCTTCGCCTTGCCTTCAAACCTCTCTTCACTTCATGTGGTGTGACTGGGGTGTATTTATCCGTTCACTCAACAGATTTTTATTGAGGAACTACTGTGTGTCAGGCTTTGTGCTAGAGACTGAAGCTGAGCAGGGCCTAAGAGAGCCTGGAACTTATACACAGCTAATATGGAGACAAACAATAAGCAAGGGAACAATGAGTGAACAGGACAAGAGTGAGATGGCTATTATGCTAGCAAATGCAGGTGATGTAATGGACAGTGGAGGAGGACAGTGGGCGGCAGAGGAGGTGAAATCTGAGAGTACAATATCCAAAGACCCCTGTCTGCAGGTGTCTGGGAGAAGAGTGTAACAGGCAGAATGAACAGCAAGGACAAAAGCCCTGAGGGCTGGTGAGCTTGGCATGTTTGAGGAATAGAAAGAAGGCCAGAGATATTTGCAATGTTTAAAACCTATAAGGAAAAATATAAAAGCAAAAAGGTTTCATATATAGAAGATATGAATAGTCAAGTCAATAAGAAAAAGACAGCAAATTCAATAGGGAATGGCAAAGGATATAAATGGCAATTTACAAAAGAGGAAATCCACAATGTTAACAAGCAAATTAAGAGATGCTCTAACTCATTTGTAATTAGAGAAGTGAAAATTAAATCAGCTATCACTTTACACCTATTGGATAGGCAAAAAGCAGAAGCTGGGTAACAGAAAAGGTTGGCAGTGTGAGGGGCCATCAACTACCCTGAAGCTCTCTGTGTAGAGGTGCTTGCTGGGCGGTCAATTTGGAAAGCAGGCTGGGATGCATGGGTGAAGTTAAAGACATATGCACCCTATGAGCCAGAAACTGGGGCTCTTGAGTTTATATCCCTAAGAATTGTCACAGATCCACAAAAGAACGTGGAAAAGGCTGTGGGGTTGTTTGTGATGGGGGAAGATAGTGGCAGTCTGGTGTCGAGCCTGGGACAGTGGAGAGGTAACATGGGCAGTTACCCACTCTGGAGGGCTATGGAGCAGTTACAAGGGACTGAACAGATTATACCACGGCACATGAAGGAAGGATCTTAAAAACATACTACTGGGGTGCTTGGGTGGCTCAGTGGGTTAAGCCTCTGCCTTCGGCTCAGATCATGATCTCAGAGTCCTGGGATCGAGCCCCGCATCGGGCTCTCCACTCGGCGCGGAGCCTACTTCCCCCTCTCTCTCCGCCTGCCTCTCTGCCTACTTGTGATCTCTCTCTCTGCGTCAAATAAATAAATAAAAATCTTTTAAAAAATACTACTAAGTGGATAAAAATATGAACTGGAATGTGCTATAAAACACAGCACCATTTGTATAAAATTTTTAAGAGATTTTATTTATTTGACAGAGAGAGAGCACGAGCTGCAGAGGGAGAGAGAGAGAAGCAGACTCCCCGCAGAGCAAGGAGCTCAATGAGGGACTCGATCCCAGGACTCTGGGATCATGATCTGAGCCAAAGGCAGACACAACCAACTAAGCCACCCAGGCATCCCTCCATTTGTGTAAATTAAAAATACATGCACACAAAACAAGAATAAAGATCCTACCAGGACACAGATATAAAGACACACATTAAATATATTGGTTGGGTGCCTAGGGTATTAATTGGGGAAGATGGTGGGACATTCATGAAGAGGAGAAGGGGAGATTGTGGACATTGTATTATAGGCACAGATGTATGCAAAGGCTTGGGGGATATCTGAGAGCTGGTGCATTTGGGGATCTGTCCCCACCTCAGCCACACTGAAGTGAAGCCATTTCTAGTGGCTGAGGTGGAAGATTCAAGGGGGGAGAGTAGGGAAAGGGTCCTGGGGGCCTTCTGAGCCCTCTCCAGGCATTTGTACTTTATTTCGATGGCAAATGAGCCATTGAAAGGCTTCAGGAAGGGGAGTGACCTGCTCTTACATGGGTTTTAGGAAACACTATGACTGCTCTAGGGAGGAAATGTCCAAGGGAGGGAGCCTGGTTGCCAGCACAGCAGGCAGGAAAGCTGGCACACTCTAGGCAGAGGTGAAAGTTTCCTCCACAAATGATGTCCTCCACAACTGACACTACCCCTAAAGACTTAAAAGACTCAGCCAGGCAGGGAGTCCCTGCCCAGTGAGCATCACAGTGATGCTTGTGACTTTGTGTCCACTGCAGGTCCCAGCTGAGCCCATAACATGGCACAACAACTTTTCTGAGTTGATCACTGAGCTTCCCTAAAGTCCAAAAGAACAGGTGGGTTACAATCATTCACTTGTTCCTTTTACCAAGGAGAAAGCCAAAGTTCAGGGAAGTTACACGTCATGCTTAGAGTTACACAGCTGGTAAGAGGCATAGGTGGGGTCCAAACCTGCATCTGTCTGTCTTCCAAGGTTAAGATCCTTCATCTATACTTTGTGCTTCCAGAACAATCTGACTACATAAACTCTGAGAATATCAGAACCAGCAGATGTGTTTAAGCAATAATCTAATCCAACACTCTCATTTCCTGAGGACAAGTGAAGGGAAGGGCTTGCTCAGGAATATTAATTCAGAGAGGACTTTATTCTTTTTTTGCTTTGTTTTGTTTTTTAAATTTTTTATTATTTTAAAAATTTTTTATTTATTTGAGAGAGAGAGAACAAGGGAGAAACAGATTCCCTGAAGAGCAGGGAGCCCAACCTGGGACTCTATCCCAGGACCCTGGTATCATGACCTGAGCTGAAGGCAGACACTTAACTGACTGAGCCATCCAGGCGCCCCATTTTTAATTTTTTTAAGAGGACTTTATTCTGAGTCTGTTGACCCCCCAGCCCTCCCCTTTCCCTATGCCCTTGGCACCTTCACAGAACTTGGACTATATCCTTGTAATGAGAACTATACACTCAGCTCCCAGCTTCTGCAGCCTGAGAGGCTGTGGGTCTGGGTTCAAATTCCAGCTTCAGGAGGGGGAATTCATACACATACACGTACCAGCATGTATATATAATATACACATATGTGTAAATCCTTGTATGTATACAATTGTTCTGGGAGGACATACCGTGCAAGAAACCTGTTTTGCGGGGCACCTGGGTGGCTCTGTGGGTTAAAGCCTCTGTCTTCAACTCAGGTCATAATCCTAGGGCCCTGGGATCGAGCCCCGAATTGGGCTCTCTGTTCAGTGGGGAGCCTGCTTCCCCTCCCCTCTTTGCCTGCCTCTCTGCCTACTTGTGATCTCTGTCAAATAAATAAATGAAATCTTAAAAAAAAAAAAAACACTTGTTTTTCTGGTTTGCATCCAGCGAGGGGGTCTGGGTAGAAGGAAAAATTCTTAAGTTTGGGACTTTTTTGTACCGTTGCACTTTTTGAATTTATATGCAATAGCTTTCTGTTTTGTTTTACTTTTTTTTTAAGATTTTTACTTATTTATTTGTTAGAGAGAGAGAGAGCATGCAAACGCAGGCAGAGTGGCAGGCAGAGAGAGAAGCAGCCTCCCCGCTGAGCAGGGAGCCCGATGTGGGACTGGATCCCAGGACCTCGGGACCATGACCCGAGCCGAAGGCAGCGGCTTAACCGGCTGAGCCACCCAGGCATCCCTTGTTTTACTTTTTAAACATGTCTCCTCCACTTATTAACTGTGTATTTTTGGGAAATTCATTCATTCAACCAGAGTTAAACCATTTAACCTAATTATGGTCTCCTGATGGGGCTGGGCTATAAATTGCAAAGGCTAGCAGTCACGTGGGGCCCTCACTGGTGTCATGGGATCAAGTTCAGAGGGTCCTACCCTGTTGGATTTCTCTTGACATTTGAGGGTGAGGGATGCTGTGATCTAGGCTCCTGGCCAACAGGTGTAGCAGCACTCTGGGAAGAAGGGAATGGGAAAAGGAGTGGGTGCACTGATTGAGGAACTTTCTTTAAGAGGAGGTTGGCTGATGAAGGGCAAGATTTCATCAACACAAATTCTCAGTGTGTCACCTCCCTTCTCTTCCTTCCAGCTTCCACCCAAAGTAGACTAAAAGTTGAGGAGATTCTGGGGAAAAAATCCCAAGGCCAAGGGGCTTGCTGGGCTCTGTCCTTGGTCCTGAAGTGCTGTCAGGACCAGTGCGTGGTTTCCCCAGATCAGGGACAATGGTGAGTGTGACTCCTCCCTTCAATAATTCTGTAAGAGGTGAGTGTTGTTATTTTCAACCTTGAAAAAAATATCAGTGCAGTTTGCATCTTGCCGCCCTCCTCTTCCTAGGGTGTTGGCTGCACTGCTTCTCCACGGATTCTAATTATAGCTGCCACACCCCACATACCAGGCTACCAGGTACGCTGTCACCCCGTGCCCACCACATCCAGGGAGCACCCACTCCATTTGCTAGTCCTCCAAATGTACTGATGATTGATGGTAGTTGGGAAATTAATGACTTTCTGAGTAAGCAGAATCCTAACTTGCTCTCCCAACTTAAATTGCTCCATTCATGTATTTCTGACGGTTGTATCATTTCCATCATCCACAAGGTTATGTTTAATTTTTTTAAATGGTAAGGAAAGCATCCCTAACCCATCACACATCAAAAAGCTGCATGAATTGAAAGTGACCCTTCCCAAACCCTTCTAAATCTGAGGGGCCTGAGAATTCAGCACGTGACTACTGAGTGACAGTTTGATCTGCTCTGGCATAGGAGGGGAGAGAAAGTGAGTGCAAGAGTCCTCATATTCTGGGGGAGATCTCAAAAGGCAGGCAAGAGAGGGACTTCCAGGCCCCAGTTGGACACCCCCTACTGTATCTCAGCCCTATGTGGGGAAGGGATGGAGAACACACACTCTGGCCCCTGCCTCGTTCCTCACCTGTTTCCTCTTCTCTCACCCATTGATCCCACTAGAAAACCTTCTGTTCCCCATGAGCAGCCGCAGGATGAGATCATGTCTGGCTTGTTATGTGGGCCAAAATGAAGAAGGAGGAAGCAGAAGGTGGATTGGGGGTGGCCTAAAGAGGGCAAGTAACCCTCAGATCAGCACTCATTTCAGTAATCCTACCCCATTTCCTGAGCATTGTGTTCTCTTCCTTTCACAGTGGCAGTGAGAATGTAGCCTAGAAGGGCACCCATGCTTGTGGGGAGGAGGTCTGTGGGTTTAGGGTCCCAGCCCCACCCTCAGAACCAGGGACAAATTCCTGTCCTGCTATACTCTTTTCTTCCTCTCCCTGTCTCATTCCTCACCCCACCAGTCCCAGGAGAATCCTGGCTGAACCATCAGTTCACTGTGTTGTGACTCCCTGCAAAGCATGAAACTTTCCCAAGCCTCATTTGTAAAACGGACACGCTCATCCCCAACAGGGGGGTAGTACAGGGATTTGGTGGGGTGAGGCGGGAAAAGGCACAGGGCGATTCACATCAGAGACCCTGGCCGCGGACCGTCCTTGTCACCCCACAGCACCCGGCGCTCTACCCTCCAGCCCGCGAGCACCCTCACCGGTTCTCAGCCACCAGGATCTGCTCCAGCAGGCGGGCGGCCTGCACGCGCGTCTCCAGCTCCGGCGCCTGCAGCAGTCGCAGCAGCAGGTCGAGGCCGCCGTCCAGGCGGATGGCGTCGCACAGACCCTGGGCTACCTCACGGCCCACGGCCGGAAGCAGCCAGGCCTCCTCCACCAGCTGGAAGACCTCCGCCAGGCCGGCGCCCACGGCCCGAGCGCCCCCCGCCTGCTTCAGCGCCGACAGCGCCTGCTGCAGCTCGGGCAGCGCGCGCTCCAGGGCACCCTGCACCTCAGTGCCCGCCCCGGGCGACACCTCGCGGGGCCCGCGGCCGCCCGCGGTCCACCACGGGCCCGCGCCGCCACCCCCGTTGGGCCCCGGCACGGCTAGCCGCTCGCCGCCCGGCCGTGGGCCCGACATGGTGAAGAAGCGGCACAGCTTGTAGGCGGAGAGGAGAAGCGTCAGGACCATGGGCGCGGGGCTGCGGGGGACATCCCCGGTCCGGAAGGGCGGAGCGACTCGGGACTTGGGGAAAAGGGGGACAGGAGACGGATCCAGGGAAAAGAAGGTGCAGAAGGGAGGGATGGGCAGAAGGCTACCTACCAGGCAAAGGCGCTGGCCAGAAGTCTGGGGGAGGGGCAAGGGCAGGAACTGGGACCGAGCTTTTGTGTGAAGGGATGCGGGCCCGGATGCAAGGGGTGGGCGGGAGGAGCGAGAGGGGACGAGGGATGGACCCAGACGCCGGCGGATCTAGGAGGCAGCAAGAGGAACAAAGGGGGACTCCGACTGGGAGATGCTCTGCAGCGGCCCCGCCCCTGAGAAGCCACAGTCGCGGAGCTGACACCCCGCCTCTCCGTCACGTGGGACTCCTCCCCTGCAGCCTGCATAGCCTCAAACCCAGGCTTCCCCCAGCCACGTCCACGCGGTAGCTGAGGGGTGGGGTGGCGACTAGGGCGAGAGGGTGCAGAGCTGGAGGGTTGCCTCGGTTTCCCCGCAAACCCCGTGGCACTGCAACGTGAAGGCAACACCGTGGAGCGTGTGGAGCTCAGTCCCCACCTTTCCCTCCCCTGGTTCAAGCAACCATAAGAACAATTCCGTACAACTTTACGCCTGTTTCTCAGTGAAGCCTTGTGACAGGCCTACGGGATAGGGGTTAGTGTTCCCATTTAACAGTAGAACTGACTGAAGCTCATGGAAAAGAGATTGCCCAAAGTCACACAGCCCTCTCTGATTATGGAATGGGAAAAGTCCGTTGGAAACGCCAAGAATCATTTTTTTCCAGGTGGTGGCAGGATTTCAGGAGCCCCATGGACCCCTGAGAGTGGGCACAAAATCAGACCTTCTGTGCCAGGTACCTTCTGGAAAGAGGGATGCTACTTAGTCTAAAAGTGTGGGGAACGAGGCTATTCTTTACCCACAGAAGGTAGGTGGAGGTGGAGACAGGGAGCAGTACCTGCCAGGGAGCTGGGAATTACTGGGAGACCAAGGAATCCAATCCAATCCAAACGGTCCATAGTCACCCCATTCCGCTGTGCTGTGAAGCCCAGCTTAGGGAAATCAATGAACCAAGAGTTGAACCTAAACACAAGAAATCTGTGTTTTTTTAATAAAAATATTTCCCCAGGGTGTTTAGCAGCATTCCTCCAACCCCCCTTTCCCTGCCCTAAATACACAATGGGTGAGTGAGACACACAGTTGGGGATGTGCCTGATCAAACAAATCACAGATAAATAACCATTTATGGAGAATGAAGCTGGCACTACTCCAGGCCCTGGGCATTTCATCTGCTTTAGCTTGTGTAACCCCCAACACAACACGAGGCAAGTGTAATTAGTCTCACTTGACCAAAAAGAAAGCCAAGGCAGGTAAAACCATTTGCCCAAAGTCACACAGCCTGCGAGGGACATAGTGAGCCTTCAGTCCTCCAGATCCACTGTGCCATTTCCCTTCGGATAGGACACTGAGCTTGGCAAGAATCCCATTCACAGTTCTCCCAGGCCCAGAGTTCCAGGAATGTGACCCTTGGCTACAGCAGCCTCTGGGATCCAGGGCACTGGGGGCTGGGCCAGAGACTGAGCAAACAGAACAGGAGAGAAGGCAGCTCTTCTTCTCTGGTTCCCTCCCTCCCAGTCCCCACCTTTCCCTCCCTTCCTCAAGCATCCACAGCAGAGACCTCCAGGAGCGCAGAGCCCAGTTCACCAGGCTGGAAGCTAGGGGCCTGCTATGGCTTCCCCGAGGCCTTTGCTGCTGCTCGCCCTGCTGGCGTGGGTTGTTCTGGCTGACCAAGGTGCAAGAAAGAGGGTACCGGTGGCCCTTGGGGCCAATGAAGGGTGGGCAAGGGTGATCTGGGCTTGGCCATGCCAACTGACCCGTTCTCCCCCACAGAGTCCTGCAAAGGTCGCTGCACTGAGGGCTTCAACGCGGACAGGAAGTGTCAATGCGACGAGCTCTGCTCTTACTACCAGAGCTGCTGCGAGGACTACGTGGCCGAGTGCAAACCCCAAGGTGTGTCTGGAAGGGCTGGGTGGGCCTGGGGTCCCCTCTCCGGCTGGACACTCACCACCACCCACTCTGCCTGCAGTGACTCGTGGGGACGTGTTCACTCTGCCAGAAGATGAGTACGGGGCCTTTGACTACCCCGAGGGGACCTCGGCAAGCGTCCTCACACAGCCAGAGAGCACCACGCTGAGCCCTGGCCTGCAGCCCCAGCCTGAAGAGTCTCCCGCCCAGGTACCGATTCTGAGCCCAGAGGAAGAGGCGCCGGGACCTGGACAGGAGGCTTCAGGGCCTGAGGGACAGGGTGAAGTCATCCCTGAGTCCCCAGCAGAGGAGGAGCTATGCAGTGGGAAGCCCTTTGATGCCTTCACTGACCTCAAGAATGGCTCCCTTTTTGCCTTTCGAGGTGACTCCAGGGGCACGTCTTGCGGGGTAGGGGTCTGCCCCTGGAACCTCTCCTCTCTCACACAGCCTCCCGCACTCTAGGGCGGTACTGTTATGAGCTGGATGAAGAGGCAGTGAGGCCTGGGTACCCCAAGCTTATCCAAGATGTCTGGGGCATTGAGGGCCCCATTGATGCTGCCTTCACCCGCATCAACTGTCAGGGGAAGACCTATCTCTTCAAGGTATGAGGCCCCGGAGGCTGAGGGTCAGGGTCAAGGGTAATCTAGGCAGGGGAGGAGGGCTGCTGTGCCCAGGACTAGGGCGGGCGAGAAGGTAGGATCCCAGCCTGTGGTTCATGACTGGGGCTCTTGAGGACAGGGAAACCCAGGGCTCTAGATCCCAGGTGACAAGCTTAGAATTGGGATGGCTGCACCTTGGGTGGTAGACTCAGCCTGTGCCCAGCCAGCTACCCCCTAACTCCCTCCTCCTTCTCTACCCCTTAGGGTAATCAGTACTGGCGCTTTGAGGATGGTGTCCTGGAACCCGATTTCCCCCGCAACATCTCTGAAGGCTTCAAGGGCATTCCAGACAACGTGGATGCAGCCTTGGCTCTCCCTGCTCATAGCTACAGTGGCCGGGAGCGGGTCTACTTCTTCAAGGGTACCAAGGGAGGGGTGGGAGAAAGAGCAGGCAGTGGGGTGGTCTCAGTTTGCCTCCACACTCCTCTAGGGGCAAGGTCAAACTAGGCTCACCCCCTGCCAGGAGCTTCCATCTTCAGCAGCCTTGAGGCTGGCTTTCCAGCCTTGCTCACACATCTCCTCCCCACCCCCGGCCTCCCTCCCTCATCCTGGTTCCTCACTCAGGGAGACAGTACTGGGAATATGAGTTCCAGCAGCAGCCCAGTCAGGAGGAGTGTGAAGGCAGCTCCCTGTCTGCCGTGTTTGAACATTTTGCCCTGCTGCAGAGGGACAGGTGGGAGACCTTCTTCGAGCTTCTCTTCTGGAACAGACCTTCCGGTATGGAGGGAGGGCAAATCTCGCTTTCTCCTCCTGGGACCAGGAGGGCCAGGGCACTGCCGGCCAGAGGGGGCTGTGATGGCGGAGCAATGGGTCAAAAGCTGTTTGCTCAGGCCAGACTTTGTTTCTGTTGACCTTTGGGGGGAGGTCCACCTGGACCCTGCACACTGGACTTTGCTTAGCACAGCCAAGCGCATGGCCAGCAGGAGGAGGGGCTGTGACTGAGGCAAGTGGGGAGGCTTGTCGTGGAGAAAGGCCAGGAGAAAGAGCACTGGACAGGGAGTCAGAGGGCCCAGGTGCTGTGCTCTGCCATGAGCCTGTGGTGTCCTTGGGCAAAGGAACAGCCTATTGCTGGGTACCAGATGAACTCTACAGGCCTCCAGGGCTTTCATTAACCCATCCCCCACCACAGGTGGTGCTGGACAGCCCCGGTTCATCAGCCAGGACTGGCCCGGTGTGCCCACGCCGGTGGATGCAGCCATAGCCGGCCGCATCTACATCTCGGGCTCAGCTCCCCGATCCTGGGCCAAGAAGCCCAAGTCCAAGCGCCGCAACCGTAAGCGCTACCGTTCACGCAGTAACAGTCTCCGTGGCCGAGGCCGCAGCCAGAACCCCCACCGACAATCCCGTTCAACCTGGCTGTCCTGGTTCTCCAGTGAGGAGAGCGGCCTGGGCACCTACAACTATGACTACGACATGGACTGGCTTGTGCCTGCCACCTGCGAACCCATCCAAAGTGTTTACTTCTTCTTACAAGGTGGGAGCCTCTGCCATCCTTGCAGTTCCTCGTCCAGCTGGGTCCTCCCTGCTGTCCCTGGTCCCCCGTGGGCTGAACATGGCTCTTGGGCGGTGACTCCAGAAGGACAGGGTGGGAGTCCTTAGCTGCATTTTGGATGTTCACTTACCCTTCCAGGAGACACCCACGTGTTCCTTCTCAGGGCAGGGATGGGCAGGGTGGGGCTGGGTCTCACACACCCTCTCCCAACCTCTCTTTCAGACAAGTACTACCGAGTCAACCTTCGCACACGGCGAGTGGACACTGTGAGCCCTCCTTACCCACGCTCCATCGCCCAGTACTGGTTGGGCTGCTCAGCCCCCGGCCACCAGTAGGAATCTGAGCCCACACAGCTGGGCCCTCCACTATTCCTTCCTCAACCTTTTCCATCTAGCCCAATAAAGATCCCCTGACCCTGAATTTAAGACTACTGTCCTGACTGGGGTGGACAGGCAGGAGACACGGATTTGCTTGGGGAAAGGAGGGGAGGCTGGAGTGTCATGATGTCTTGGGGGAGGAGAGCCTCCTCGTGTCCAGTCCACGTTGGGCTCAGGCCCTGTAAACCCCAAAAACTCTGGGCTGGGGAAGGCCTCATGAGTGCTAGCCTTCTGCCTGAGCTAAGCAGCCCCTACCAACCTACCAACATCAGCAGGAACTTGAACCCCACTGATGACAGGAGCAACCAGCGCTCCTCCCAGCCCTGGGCTTGCTTTGCCTCTTGGAGTTGACTAGGGTCTTGGAGGAGAGAGAAGGGGCGGAGGGAGTGGGGTTCTGGTTTAGCTTTTCTGCCTGTTCTGAGCTGCAGTGTGGTTGGGGGGCTGCTGTACTCCCCCAAACGCACCCCTAGGATGATCCTCTCTTTGAGGCCTGTCTTCAGTCTAGGGTGTGGGTCACTGAGGTTAGGAGGGGGAAGGGCAAGAACTCGAAGGGAATTCAAATGCACCCACTTCTCTTAGAAAAGTGGCTCAGGGGCGCCTGGGTGGCTCAGTGGGTTAAAGCCTCTGCCTTTGGCTCAGGTCATGATCCCAGGGTCCTGGGATCGAGCCCCGCGTCCTGCTCTCTGCTCAGGAGGGAGCCCACTTCCTCCACTCTCTCTCTCTCTGCCTGCCTCTCTGCTTACTTTGATCTCTGTCAAGATAAATAAATAAAATCTTTAAAAGAAAAGAAAAGTGGCTCAGAAGACTTAAAAGGATGAATACTCTGTAAAAACAAATATCTCCTTAGAACTCCTCGATTGTTTCCGGGGAACCTCCTCTGCTTCTAGGTTCCTGGACTCCAAGAAGCCCATTGGGCTTTCAGGGGGCCATGGAGAAACGGCTGAACACAGATGAATCTCTGAGGTGGACCTGAGGGCAGGCTGGTGGGGACATCTGCTCCCCAGCCCTGCTGGGGGCGGGGTGGCTGCAGTTCCCCTGCCATCCCTGTCATCCTCTTCATCCTGCCCAGCCTTCCACTGTGGCACAGCAGTCCACCCGCTCTCCCCTGAAGGCAGCCAGCACAGCACATTGAGGGCTCCAGAAGGGCCTGGTGAAGCCCCGGGAGCCCTAGAGACAGGGTTGGTTTTTTGTTTTTTGTTTTTTGTTTTTTTCCTCCTGGAAGGTGTCCTGGGAATATTTCCACAAAGCACAGGATTTCAGACACAGAGTGTTGGAGTCTGCGGGTGTGAGGAGGGGGTCTTGGACCGGCTTCCTTCATGAGCCCTGAAGGAGCAGGGGCCACCAAAGTTTTGCCTCCCGCCCCTAGACCCACACAAGCCCCAACACTGCCCCTGCCCTCCCCTCTTTCCTCTGGGACAGCTCTGCTCCTCTCAAGCTAGACAGGAAACCTCTCCCCTCCTGGAGGCGGGGCTGGTCCTCTGAGCAGGATAAAACCCCAGGAGGAGGGGTGTGGTGTGGGCACAGCCTTGGCATGGCCCTCTGGCTCCTCGTTCTCTGCCAGCTCCATGGCCAGCCCTGAGGATGCACCTGCAACAGGTGATCTGCTGGGGAAAGGGTAGGCTGGGGGAAGGTCAAAATGAGGAATCGGGGAAGGGACTTCAGGGTCTGCTGAGGGTCTTGAGGCTGGGATGGAGGCTCTTGCAAAGGATCCTGGCTTGACTCCTACTCCGGCCCACAGGCCACACCAGTGGGTTGGGTTCCCACCGGAGAAAGCGGACCACCTTCAGCAGGGGGCAGCTGCTGGAGCTGGAGCGGGTGTTTGCAGCATGGCCCTACCCTGACATCAGCACGCGTGAGCACCTGGCTCGGGTCACTTGCCTTCCTGAGGCCAAGATACAGGTGAGCAGTGACCCCGTCTGAGGGTGAGGGTACTCTCGCACAGTCCCTTTTCTCTGGGTATCCTCTCTCCAGGTTTTGCTTTCCCTGTAGCTGGGGGAGGGGGAGCTGGTGCCAGAAGAGATTATTTTTTCCCTGATCAGGTGTGGTTCCAGAATCGCCGGGCCAAGAGAATCAAGAACAGGAAGGCGGGAGGCCTAAGCCCCAGGCCCGAGCACACCCAGAGAGCCCGTCCTCTTCCGGACACCCTCCAGCAGGCCCGGGAGCCCCGAACACTAGTCCAGCTTCCACCTTCCAACAGCACACCTCAGTGTGCCTCAATGGGTCGACATGCTTCCTGCCCAGCTCCTGGTTTGGGTCCAGGACAGGGGTGGACAGGGGCTAAAGCTGTAGCCCCATGGGGACCAGCTGGGGTTTCAGGGGTCCACCTTTCTTCAGAGCGAGCCACTCCCCAGACCTCATTGGGCAGCTTATCTGACCTCATCTATGCCTCTGCCATCGTCACCAACCTGGACCACTCCTAAATTAAGTCTAGAACTTTTGAGATCGCTCCTCTGGCTCCGCAGCCCACCCTGCCCCTTAGGACTGAACATATCAGATGTGGATCCCTCACCCCTCCTTTTACACAAGGGAGTTTTCTTATCGGAAGGTTAGTGCAGGTATCCCTCCCTCTGACTGTCATCCTGTCCAGCCCAGAGTCACCAGGGCCTGTGTCCTGCTCCCCAGCACTCTGCCCCTCCTTGAGCCTGTGCCCATCGCCATGGCGGGAGGTCCCTTCAGAGAGATGAGGTAAGGGCCAGGTTTTCCACCTTTCAGGAGCCAGGCCAGGCCCTCAATTTTTCTCACCCCAGGTGACAACACCTCCTCCCTCCAAAGAATGGGCAGCCAGCCCTCACTTTCAGGCCATTAGCTAGCTAACTGCTAAGTGAGTTAGGCGAGGAGAGCACTGAGACTAATTTCAGGCTGTTGGGAACCAGGGCCCCCTCTTCTGACCTACCACCACCTGGACATATTAATCAGAACCATGGATCTGAAGAGGAAGTGATATTAAAGTCATAAAGTAGAAAGAGGAGCCCGGGGCTTATGTTCATTTAATTTTCACAAAGATCAGATTGGCTGCCCTGTGACCTGAGGTTGTGGAGACAACCTGACAGATTTAGCAGGGGGTGGGGGAGTGCGTGCTGGCAACACTGGGTTTTCATATCACCGTCATCTGTAATGCCAACTAATCTCCAAATAAAACCCAAACTCTATACCTTAATCTGGATTGTTGTGTGCTGCAAACGAATGGGGACAAGCGCTGTTTGCTTTTGAAATGTATCTCCATCACCTAATCCCTAAATAGGGCCAGGTTCCACACAGGTCCTGGGTGGGGGACATTCCCCAGGCTTCCAGCGGGATTAGGTAGAGGGATGGTTAATTGAAGGGCTTAGGGCTCTGGCTGACAGACCCTAGGGAGATGGGAGCCTCGGCTAGCACCTTCTGCTCCCGCTCCCACTGCTTCCAGGATGTTCCAGCTGCCTCTACTTCTGGAGCTGCTCTGCTCCAGAAAAGCAGGAGTTTGCCATCAGTCTGGGCTGGATTCAAATCCTGGCTCTGCTATGTAACCTTGCAATTCTCTGAAAGTCTCTGAGCCTGCAAAATGGGGGTGATAATACTTGTCTTCTCTCAATTTGGGGGAATGAGAAGCAATAATGTTAAGTGAAGGGCTTCGTCTGGTTGATGCATTATAAAAGCTCTCAATTCAACCTTCCCTCTCCATACAGCAGATGAGGAGAAACTGGAAAGACCCCAAACTTCTTGTTCCCCTGGCTCCTGCCAAGCACTCCCTTTTGCCTTGGGAAGCCCTACGTCCAGACTGCACTGGGGGCGGTTAAGAGAGGGAGGAAGTGGCCGAGAGCAGAGAGTTCTCTTCTCTGTGATGAGACCCAGAGCACAGGCCACCCGACTGCTATCTCCAGCTCTGTCCCTGCACATGGAAAACATTGCACGGTCAAGATTTCCTAGGCAGGAACTAGGTCTTTTACCTCTTGATTTCCAGCAGCTAGCACAGTACCATGGCTCATAAAGGAGCACTCCATAAGTGTTCGAGGCTACAGAGTGTGTTAAACTTGGGAGGAGGGGCTTGGGTTCAGGTAAGGACCCCATTCTGGTGAAAGGGGTGCATATGTGGAATGACCCAATCTCAGTGTGAGAAGACGCTCTGGGTCAGAAGCTGTTTGAGGGGGCCTGCCCTTCATCTAACATTTACAAGCCTTCCAACCTTCCAATCCAGGTACCTGGGGTGGGGAGTGGGAGGTTGAACACTGAAGGCCATGTGGGCCCACAGGCTACCTGGCCAGCAGAATTCAGCGCAAGTAGGATAGCCATGAATCTCCACAAACATTCAGTGCAGCTTTTAAACTCAGTCTTAAGTGGTCTGGGTTGCTAGAAACGTTGTAAAATGCCACCTGCACTTTTTCTCACAGCTGACATTTCTTTCAACCAACAACAGAAATTCTAAGATTTCTCAACAAAGTCATCTGTGATGGGACAAGAGGAAGGAAACCTTCCCTCTCTCTCATGTACCATCTGGGGAAGCCGGGACGGGCTATGTATCAAGTAGAAACTAGCAAACCTGGAAAGCAAATGTCTACTGAACCAATGAGTGTGTAATTTCTTTCCTTCTTTAAAAAAACAAACAACACCCCCCCCCCCGATTTATTTATTTTAAAGAGAGACAGAAAGGGAGGGACAGATACTCAAGCAGACGTTCCCACTGAGCTCAGAGCCTGATGCGAGGCTCAGTCTCACAACCCATGAGATTGTGGGCTGAACCAAAATCACAAGTTGGACGCTTAACTGACTGAGCCACCCAGGCGCCCCATGAGTGTATAATTTCTAAGAACAGAAGTGTATCCTGGGGGGGAAAAAAGGCCACAGGAGCTCACAGTGTGAACAAAAGGAAAGGAACATACCATTAGGAACAGACCCTGAACTGTGCTTGCTTCGACAGCACATATACTAAGAATACGAACAGATCCTGAACAATGATCAGAACTAAGCAATCTTTGGGCTTCTGTGTTGTGACAAGATCTGAAGTAAGAATACAATGGATACAATAAATATTTATTGGATAAAAATCTATTGCTGACAGTTTCTAAGGACCTTTACACAGATTCTATCAGTACACCACTAATTTAAGTTCTTGGAAGTTTAACATTACATGGGGACTTCAACACCACTTAGCAGTCTTTGGCTCCATTTCACAGAGGAAGGACCACAGCTGGTCATCTGATCTCTCTCAGCCTCAGTTCTGTCTTCGGGGAAAAGGGGCCTAATGCCGTTTCCTCTTCCAACCTCCAGGATTGTTATGAAGACCAAGAGTAATGACGTAAAGCAATTACTCAACTGTGCACACTTACAATCTACTTTCCACACTCCCCCAAACTCCGACATTTTAAGAATCTACATAAAATAACCTCCGTTAGGCTTACATACAATAATATGTATACATACTCATAACATGTTATGTTTATGTATTCATGTATATGGTTATTTATGCCCACATATACAGTCAAATCTGGAAACAGTCCCTATCTACAAAGAACGTCTCCCTGTATTAGCTGAGACAATCTACAGTAGGCATACTCTTGCCACCAACACACACCAGCACAAGAGATTTTCAATTAAAAGCAGACATACTGTTTTGCCATCTGAATTGTTTTCATTTTCGGAGGCAGAGCAAAGGGTGATAAAAAGGTGGGCAGTTTAAGGAGGGCTGGTGAGTGGTAGAGACAGGCAGAAACATACAGAAAATCTGAAAAAGGTGAGCAGAGGATGAAGAATGAAACTAAGATTCTGGAAAGGTAGCTGCCTAGCTCCCAATTTCAGCATCCTATACCAACCTGTCTTTCTCTCATTTGATGTCCTGTGATCAGCTCCTCTTCTGACACAAACTGGCTTCTAGAAAGGCAATCCTTTCTGTTTTGGAGGTTACTGATCTAAATTACAGGTCTGCCTCAAGGGTGTGTGAAGCAAGGGGGACCATTAATTTGTACACTTGGGGAAGTTCAAGGCAATGTGGTCCACTTCTAGGAAGACCTGGATTCTATTTACTCCTGATGGGGAAAAACCCAGCCTTGGGAGGGCCCAGATGGACTACAGAACGCAGACGGGCACTGGGTTCAGGAGAAGGAACTGAAAGACCAGTTCTTTTCAGTTGTTGTCTGACTCTCCTTTACTGCCCCTCTGGAAACTGACAGAGGCTGGGGCTCTGGCACGAACAGCAGGTGGCCCTGGCTTGGCCCTCTGACTAACCAGAGCTGTAGACAAAGGGCCTGACAAGTGGACTGAGTCAGTGATTGGCAGCTGGGAGCTTGGAGTCTCCCCAAACCGGCTCCAGACTTTGATGATGAACCCTCAGGTTAAAGCTCTCCCAACTCGCCTTCCATTGCCCGTACCATGACATAAAGCTCGGCCAGGCCCACCACAGAGGCCACAATCAAGGCAGCCAGTACCCGCTGGGGAGAGAAAGAACCAGGCTTAGGGGATGCAGGCCAGCATCCAGCTCTGCAGCCTCCAGGGCCTCTGGTAAAGATGGCGGGGGGGGGGGGGGGGGGGGTGGGGGGGGGGGGGGAAACCCAGACCACAGGTTGCGGGGAAGGGAAGAAAAGAGAATCTGGATTCTCTTGAGGTTATTATGTACTCCCATGAATGCTGGACAGCTCAAATGCTCCTCTTGTTTACTAAATAAATGCTTGTCTAATGCCTAACTTGTTCAAGGCACCTTCACATACATCCTCTCTCTCCCACCAACACTCCCACCTGGGATACCCTGCCTTGCCCAGTGCTTACTTACTGAGGCCATTTCTGTGAAGATGTACTGGCTTCCAAGGTAAGTACAGACGAAGGCAGCTGCCACCGTGACAATAAAGTTGAAGATGGTGATGACCAGAGCTTTCACTGACCTCACTTTGGGGAAGAACCCAGGGAAGAAACGTTTATGTCAGCATCCTCCACAAGGCCCTCTTATCTCTGGGTGAGACAAGAGGGCCTTCAAACGGCAAGTCTGAATAGCTCAGGCTTAAACCCAGAGCCCTGGGGTGGGAAGAAGTGCCATGACCAACCCGTCCCAGGTTTCAGCAGTGTGATATCCCAGCACCTCACCTTGCTTTCCCAGTTCACTAAGAGTCCCACCATGTCTTGAATCCTGGGAAAAAGAAAACACAAATGATTCCCAATGGAAGCAGCTCAGAGGCAGCCCAGAGAGTAACTATTTGTCAGTCTGGGCTCTGCTCTCTTTATTTCCCAACATATTAAGTCTGCCTTCTCCATGGATTCTGTTGTCAGAACCAGATAGATTTTTTCCTGAACCACAGATCATGCATTTCAGAAAAAGGACATAGGTTCCCAGTACCCATCTACTCCTCTCTTGCTCCAGGGTGGGAGCATGCCACAGAATAATAGGGAGTCCTATCAGAAGAAAGGCTCCAAGGCTTATCTCCACCTCTCCAACTTTTAAGAATCTGTCACCATCTGAGCCCAGAGTCTCAGTAAATGAGCTGGGAATTGTATTAGGTTTGTATGCAGCACAGAGCTTCTGTGGACCCTGACTAGTATAAAAACTAAGCTTCCACGATGTTTTTTTTCCCCCCTCTG